AATTTTGAACTTATCTTTTGTGTGCCTTTTGTGCGTAAGTTTTGTGTCTCTTCTTTTACTCATAGTCTGGACAATAAGTATACGTATTGTTCCGAATTATAGACTTGTACAATAGATGGACTCCGGTGGTCCAAGTGGAGCTAGAGGGCTAGGACAAGGCTCTGAAGGAAATAATGGAAACGGGCCGGATCAAATAGCTACAGCCATCCAGCGGATGCCCGATCTGTTAGAACGCATGGCAAATCCCCAAGGAACAGGAGGCAATTGACCCTTCGGCAGGTTTTGAAGGTACGCTTTGACCAACGAATTAATTTCGATGACGAAATTGTCCTAAGTGGGGGAGATTGTGAGGCCCCAGTCCATTCGTAAGTCGATATTAGGGTTATTTGATATTCGGTATAGAAAAAAATCAGGGTTTTATGGCTAGGAAGGAAACCCTAATTCGGTTGAGCTTGAAAATCCTAGTTTACGTAGTATGATTATAAGGTTCAAACTATAATTTATATTCGGTATTCTAGTGTGTGCCTTGACATAGGTAAATATAGGATTTGTTTTAATTACAAAGGTTTAGTAAGTTTGAATGATTAGCAAACCTCTAGTGTTACTATATTAGAAAGCTTAAGTGGAGTTTTATTTATCGCCCACCTCTTTCCATATTTTCTTCATTAGAAAAGTTCTCCAGATAATTTTTATGAGTAAATATAATTTTTAGATGATTTTTCTAGTATCGGTTAGATTTTGAGAAAATAAGAACGTATATCGGATGTGGGACCCACTAGTGCTGAAAGTTCGGAAAAATTCGGCCAATTAGGTTAAATTCCGGATACTGTGTGAAATTTATCGGGTGTTAAGAGATAAGTAGAGAGTGAAATTTGATTGATGTGAGAGGAAAAGAAAGGGATAGGAATGCATTTAAGAGGTGACAAGTGTCACCATCTCATTGGACATGACTTATGATTTACTATTCATGTTTTTGACTTTTGACCAAATTGAGTAAATATCTCCAAAATTCACTAAAAAATTCACTCATTTCTTCTCCTCCATAGCCGGCCCTCTCTCTCTAACAAAGAAGGAAAAACCTCTTCAATCTTCAAGCTTTCCACTAGCTCAAATCATCCAAACCAATTGCCTAAACTAGTTTCTACTCCATACAACCTTTCCATTTGGTGTTAGTGGTGAGTTTGGTGAAGTTTTTGGAAGAGCTAAGGTGGTCTACAACTCCTCTTCTCTTGTATACTAGGTAAGTGATGATTGAACATCCTCCTACACCTAATGATGTTTAATTTGTGCTTAGTGGTGGCTAAAGTGATGGAATGTGTGATTTATTTCTTGATTTGAAATGAATTGGTGAAGTTTTTATTTTTTGAGGAATTTTCTGGTTTAATGTGATCATGGTGTTGTGGTTGTTTATGATGGTTGATAATGAGGGGTAATGACTCAAGTAGGTGTGTTTGATAGGAAATTGCAACCAATTTTGGGTTTGGAATGAAATGTGAAAAGTTAGGGTTACATAACCCCCTTTTCTGTCCGGTTTTGGATCATATGGTTACAGGCCGAATTGGCCTTTGCTTAAAACATGAAAGTTGTAGGTATTGATGTGTTTGAGGCGCCTGTAAAATTTCAGGTCATTTGGAGTAGTGTAGAGTGAGATATGTCGATTTTACTGTTGCTGTTCTGGGTTGATCAGAATGTGAAAACTGCACTTGTAATTGGTTGTTTTGGCTGGTATTGCTTCAGAATTAGTTGTTATGGTCTTCTAATGAAATGTATCCCTATTTCTAAGATTTCGGATGGCTCTGGAATTTCTGGATTTGGACTTGTGTAGTCTGAGTTATGATGTTTGTACTAGAATACGGTTTGTGATCCTGTTTTGCGATTCTGGTATAGTGTCTTGCATTTTTGACCTTCTTACATTCAAAATTGGACAAAGTTTCCTTCTTCAACATTGTAGCCCCTTAAGTCCTGGATATTCTTGTAAAATTTCAGGTTAAACAGATTAGTATATCCTGAGCTATAAACGAAATACTCGGACCTGTTTTGACCATCAAATTCTGTTACGTTTTTGGAAAGTTTCTGACCGTGACTTTTTTCGATTTTGATAGAGTACGATCTGGGTGTTGACTCTATCATAAAAAATGTAGATCTTGGTCACAGCTTCGAAACGCTATAAAGTACGTCAAAATCCGAGTCCCGTAGCTCTAGTTATGATCGAAATAAGAATTCATGTCAGGACTGTTCTTATATCCGGACAGTTTACGACTGGAACTTTGGCTTCACATTTGACTGGGTTACAAGCTGTTTGGGCTTGTGACCAAAACACCAAACTTATAGCCCTATATCAGAGCTTTCTAACGCCCTTGGAATTTCATGAATCGTATTTATAAAACCTGAGATATAGCCGAGCAAACAAGGCTTGCCCGTGAAAATGACCATTTTCTGGTCAGATCTGTTTTGGTCCTGATGACCAATTTCCGTTCCGGATTTGGATTGCCGACCTTCATGAAAGTTGTTCCATTTGGAATGAACCATCTAACTGCCAATTTTCAGCTCTTTTGACCATGTGTAGCATAGAAAACAGTTTTCCACTCAAAACTGACCATTATCTGCATTGGCAACAGATTTCGTATGAGGTGTATTTGTTCATTCGCGCGACTGAAACCTCCTGTTCAGATTCTTGGTATTCTTCATACACATTAGTTGTTCATCCTTTAAGCTTCCCATATGGAATCTCATACGCCTTAATCCGCATATCGTAGCTCAACTTTATGAAGTAAACTAGAAATGGTGTCAAGCTCTGCCCGTTTCCGCTAACGGCCGGTTTCCTTTGCCGCTTCGTCATATTAAACGTGCGCGCGCGTGCTCCGCTTTTTGCTGTTACTTGTTTTAGGTACGATACTAGCCATTTGCGAATTATGTGACACAAGCTTCTTTTATTTCAGACGGTGCGCTGAGCTGGGCGCGAACTGCGACTCACGTGGCGCGCCCACTAACTAGCGCTTCATTTCGATCGACGTCTACTTTGCTATTTCAGGTTTTGCGTAATATTCAGATTTGATGTGTGTTTTCCTATTGCCTATGTGTTTGACGATATGCTTGAAAAGGTACTTAGCGCGTGAGGCGTGTACTTTTATCGCTCTCGACCTAAACCCTAGATTTGAACGTATATATTGTACTTGGCTATAGTATATGAAACCTTTTGAACCAAAACCCGCTTCGAACTTGTGGCTCGCGACTTATCGAGTAAAGTTTTAAGTTTGCCAAAGTTGTGAGTTCGTGGGCCCATCTTAAGGACCGACTATTCGAAGCCGGTTAGGGCTTGGTCGAAGTCAATCAACATATCTAAGGTCACCAAGTTTGTAGGTTCATGTAGAAGACCAATTTTGTGAATCCGGTTCACGAGGACGAGTGACCAAGCTGTTGCTGACCGAGCTTGTGACTCAAGCTCAAAGTTTGTGATTTCGTTCCGCCGACGGCAAGTTTCTGTGAGTTGACTGGCCCAGTGAGCGGCTGATACGGTGCTCGGCTGTGTACAAGTGAAGTTCTACGGACCATTGAGTGTGGTCGACGGAGTGTCGGCAGGAGATCACGCATGGCATATGAATTGGCTTTGGAGCCACCTGTATCCTTATTATGTGATGTTACTTTTCTGCTTCTGCTTTACTCTTACTGTATAACTGTTGTTACGTGAAATTTATGCTTTCGCCCCTGTTTACTGACTAAGCTTTTAGCTTACCCCTTTTCTTTTGTTTTCCTTAGCAGGGGCCGACGCGGGGATTTTGGCACTTATACTAGTGTAGTTAAGTTTGCTTGTAATAGTTGGACAATTAGAATGTTTGTATTAGTTTTGGTGGGTTGTATAAGGACCCTCTTTAGGGTCTACCTTTTACTTTTGGTTATAGTTATAAGAATGTAATAGTGGATGGTCAGATACTGTTGGGAGATGTAAATAAGTACTCTTTTGTTTTTATTTAGTTTTATTGCTTTAAGTTTTGAGTCCTGGCGCGAGCTAGGCAGGCGGCCCGCCGATACCCTTGGGCTCGCCCTTGGGAGAAATGGGGTCGTCACATCCCCTCCTCTTGAGAAGGATTTGCCCACAACTGAAAAGCACCATCTGCAGCAAAAGGAGCTAAGAAACATTAAACGTAGCACTAACTCCGTACTCACCAGGAAGATCAAGTTTGTAAGCATTGTCATTGATGCGTTCCAACACTTGAAAAGGTCCACCACCCCATGGTTGTAGTTTATTTCGCCTTTGAGCAGGAAAATGTTCCTTGTGCATATGCAACCACACCCAATTGCCAGGTTCAAAAGTCAGCTTTTGGCGACCTTTGTTAGCTTGCTTGACATGTTAAACAGTTCTCCTCTCAATGTTGGCCCTGACTTTCTCATGAAGTTGCTTAACAAAATCTGTACGTTTCTTACCATCCAAGTGTGCGCACTCATTACTGGGTAATGGCACTAGATCAAGAGGTGTTAGCGGATTAAAACCATAAACACATTCAAATGGAGAGAAACCATTTAAGAATGGATAGCTCTATTATAAGCAAACTCAACATGAGGTAAACACTCTTCCCAAGATTTCAAATTTTTTTTATGATGGCACGCAACAAGGTACCTAATGTACGATTCACTACCTCAATTTGACCATCAGTTTGGGGGTGACTAGCAGTAGAGAAAAGCAATTTGGTGCCTAGCTTAGACCAGAGTGTCTTCCAAAAATAGTTCAGGAATTTGACATCTCTATCAGATACAATGACCCTAGGTATGCCATGCAATCTCACAATCTCTTTAAAGAACAAGTTAGCAACCACATTGGACTTACCAGCCTTGTATTTAATAACGTACGGAAAGGACTCCACGAATGCAATTCACCTTGCATGCTTCTTGCTCAAGTTGTGTTAGGCCTTAAGGTACTTAAGGGACTTATGATCAGTATGTATCACGAATTACTTAGGTCTTAAGTAATGCTGCCACACTTGTAGTACTTGAATGAGGGCATACTACTCTTTATCATAAGTTGAGTAATTCAGTGCATCCCCATTGAGTTTCTCACTAAAGTAGGCAATAGGCTTTCCACCTTGGTTCAACACAGCTCCAACTCTAATACCTGAAGCATCACAATCGATCTCAAATGTTTTAGAGAAATCAGGTAAGGCAAGTACAGGTGTGTGTGTGAGTTTGTGCTTTAAAACGGTAAAAGCCTTTCTTGGGACTCTTCCCAGTGAAAATTCTCATTCTTCTTGATCAATTCGGTCAGGGTGCAGCAATGGTGCTAAAGTCCCTCATGAATTTCCTATAGAAACCAGCAAGTCCATGGAAACTTCAAACATCACCCATAGACCTTGGTGTTGGCCACTCTTGAATAGTTTTCACCTTTTGATCATCCACCTTCATTCCCTGCGCACTTATAACAAATCCTAGAAACACAAGCTCATTAGTGCAGAAATTGCACTTCTTGAGATTGGCATAAAGCTTCTCTCGTCGAAGTACATCCATAACCGCCGTAATATGCTCAAGGTGTTCATCGTAAGACTTGTTATATATTAGGATATCATCAAAGTAAACTACCACAAATTTTCTCAAGAATGGATGCAGCACATGATTCATTAATCTCATAAAAGTACTAGGTGCATTAGTTAGCTCAAAAGGTATCACTAACCATTCATAGAATCCATACTTAGTTTTGAAGGCAGTTTTCCATTCATCCCTCTCTTTAATCCTAATTTGATGGTAACCACTTTTGAGATTAATTTTGGTAAAGAACACAGCCCCATGTAACTCATCAAGCATATCATCTAAGCGAGGTATAGGGTGGCGATACTTTACCGTGATGGCATTTACAGCTCTATAGTCGGTACACATCCTCCACATACTATCTTTCTTGGGCACTAAAATGACTGGGACAACACACGGGGTCAAACTCTCATGTGCCCATCCTTTGCCGAGCAACTCATCCACTTGCCTTTGCAACTCCTTAGTCTCCTCCAGATTGCTCTTGTAAGTTGGTCGATTTGGCAATGAAGCTCTAGGGATGAAATCAATCTGATGCTCAATGCTCCTAAGTGGTGGCAATCCACTTGGCACGTCCTCGGGAAAGATGTCAGCATACTCCTGCAAAAGAGACACAACCTCAAGAGGTATGTTAGTATCAAGTTCATGCACATTCAGAGCTACTTCTTTGCTAACAAGCGTAAGAACCAGCTGCTCATCTCTCATTAACTTTCTCACTTTCTTGGCTTTTATCAGGAGCATTTGTTTTCCCTCGGATTTTACCTTACTTGCCAAGCTATCTATAGCCTTTTTCCTCTCCTTTTTTGCTTCGGCGCTCATATTTTCTTTCTTTTTTGTACAATACTTCTCATACTCCTGTTGCAATTTCAATTGGTCTTCATGCACTTGTTTTGGGGAAAGGGGGGCTAGGGTGACTTTCTTACTATTGTACAAGAAGCTATACTTGTTAGTCACGCCATCAAAAGTTACCTGCCTGTCAAACTGCCACGGCCTACCTAGTACAATATGACTAGCCTGCTTAGGAACTATGTCACATAATACATCATCATAATATTTATGAATTTGGAAGGATATAAGAACCTGATTGGTTACTCAAACCTCTCTAGAATTGTTGAGCCACTGGAGTTTGTAGGGTCGTAGGTGATCCCTTGTAGGCAATTTCAAGTTGTCCACCATGAGTGAACTAGCTACATTTGTGCAGCTCCTACTATCAATAATCACACTACAAAGTGCTTGCTTGACGAAGCACCTGGTGTAGAAAATGTTCTCCCGTTGAAGCTCTTCCTCCTTAATACGTGTAGTTAATGCTCTCATTGCAACCAATGCAGTCCCAAAGTGACCATCGGGTGCATTAAATTCCTCTTCATTTGGCGACTCACCATCACTACCTCCTTCAAGTGGTGGCATGCCGTCGTACTCGGCTTCATCTTCGCTCACAATCTTGCCATTTTGTAGCATAATCATAGACCTTTGGTTGGGGCATTGACTAGCGATATGGCCTCTACCTTGGCATTTGAAGCATCGAGTATCACGAGCTCCAGTTTGTGCCCTAGGCTCCTCAAATTTTGGAATAGGAGAGGGTGGTTTCCCACCATTAGAATTGCCCACCTTACCTCCTTCGAATCTCGGCTTTGGTGTACGAGCAGTTGGTGAAGGCTGAAAATCATTCCTTGGTTGGAACGAACGGTTCGTGGAGTATGTGGTATTGCTAAAATTTGGTCGAGTAGTTCCCCTCCTCTTGAGCCATTGTTCGACCTTAATGGCCTTGTCAACAAGCTCATGCAACTCCATATAGTGTTAAAGTTCCACTCGTTCAGCAATATCGGGTCTTAACCGTTCAAGAATCTAGACATGGTGGCTTCGGGATCCTCTTGCACATCCGCCCTTAAGCATCAGGATCTCCATCTCCTTATGATACTCATCCACACTCCGGTTGCCTTGGAGTAAGGTTTGTAATTGGTGGTACAAATCCCTAGTATAGTATCCAGAAACAAATCGGTTGCGCATCATGGCTCAAAGCTCGGGCCATGGAATGAGTTCAGGTAGCCCACTTCTCCTTCTTGACTTCTTGATTTGGTCCCACCAAACCACAGCATACTCAGTGAATTTCAAGGTTGCCAACTACATCTTTTGCACCTCGGTGTAGTTTTGGCAAGAAAAAATCATTTTGATCTTGGACAACCATTCGAGAAAGGTCTCAGAATCGGACCGTCCTTTGAATTTAGGAATTTTCATTTTGATTCCCTTGAACACATCGGTAGGTCCCGTTTGGTTCCTTTGCCTTGGTCGAATGCGAGGTTTCTTGTCATCATCATCATTATTGGAACCATCGAACTCCTCCACGTCCCTTCGCCTTCGCTTGGACATAGAAGTTTTTGGTGTTCCAGATGCTCGGATTTGCGGCAACTCATCTTGAATTGGTTCTAACATGCATTGGAAACGCCTTTTCATTTGCTCCATCATATTTTCAAAGTCCATAGGTAGGGATGCTCCTTCGTTTCCACTAGACATGTAGTCTCGAATGTACCTGCGATGGTTAGTAGCAAAGGAAAAAGAAAGAAAAAGAAAGATTTTTGTACTCTCCCCCTAAAGTGTATACTCTCTCACTCGGATATGGTCATTCACATCACTCAATTGAGCTCTCCAAAATTTTCTCACAACCCCTTGCAAGACCTTGAAAAAATTATAATTCCCTCAAGTGCTCAAATTAAGTTTAAAAATTAAGTTTACGCAATAATTTGAGGTTCGTAAGAGTGGAGATTTTCTTGGAAAACAAAATTAGGACACTAAGAGTGGAGTGGTAAAATATATTCAAGAATAAAAATTGGAAAAGAATGGACTCAAAAGCTACAAAAAATTAAGATTGACGCTCGAAGGTCCTGACCAACAAGGAAAATGGTCCTTTTGCTTTGCTGGATTTCTTGGTCAGTTTACTCCTGTTCTAGCCGACTCAAGGTGCTAGTTTTCCTTTTTGCAGAGGTGCGAATACAACCTAGGAGCAATTCTAGGCAAGGGTCAGCTACAAAATAGGGAACAAAGTGACTTGGAAGGCCACTTGGTCTTGTTTTGGAAATCTTTTTGGTTTTAGAAACCAGTTGGGTTTGGAAGTCTGGCAGCGGCTGTTTCCTTTTTCTTTTCTAGTTGCTCAGCCGAATGGTTCCCTCTTCCCAGGTGTTCTGGAAGTGCACAAAGGCTGGGGTGTTGGATGAATTAAATTGGCTCTCGCTGGCTGCTCAACTCTCAAGAAGCAAGAACAACAAGCCGGATGGAGTCGCAAAATCATGATGTCAGTCAAGTCCCCCCACGGGCTCCCCCCCCCTTCGGGTTAACCAAGAACCTCCCAAGAAAAGTTCAAGAACTCCTCGAAGACCCTTCATAGATGCTCGAGAGTATCAGAAACTGTTCAAGAAATGCAAGCTACAAGTTTTCAAGGTTCAAGGATCTCAAGAAGTTGTAGATCAAAATTTTTGAATGTAGACTAGGCTCAATGTAATCGGCAATTGATTCCCAACCGAGCTCTAGCTTCTTGTTTGAGTTCCCCAATTCAATAACAGTATTCAAGACTCTTTTGTTTCGAAATTTGCTTGTTGTGTTTATTTCTTTTTTTTTTTTTACAACAGTAACTTCGGATGAACGCAGGCGTGGTTACCCAAAATTTCCCAGGTCTGGCTGAGTTTGGTTGCGGTCTGTTGTTGGAGGTTTTTACAATCGTATAGGCTAGCTTTTGGTTCCAAAACGAGGTGGTCAAGGTTTAACTCCAGGTATAGGTCAACCTTTAACGATCAAGAGTTGTAAACCTAACACAAAATTTCCAGCAAATAACTCCAGGAAGAACGCCACAAATTTCCAGATTTCAAAGCGTCAAGAATCTCTTCAAGGACTCCAAGAAATCGTGAAGTTTGCCTACGAAATTCCAGAACAAGGTACCACTACTTTCCTAGATAATGAACAACTAAGGGACAGGTCAAGAACAGATTTAGCAACACCCACAACTCAACAAGAAACACGAACAGAATTTGGAAACTTCAAAAGCTGCAGAATTTTTTTTTTCTGTTAACAAACAATAAAATCAACACACAACTAAACCAAACATGACACAATGAACTCCCAGAAATTCCAGAAGTTCAAATGACAGCAATAAAGATTCAACAAAGATGACCAGAATTTGAAATCAATGGAGACTCATTGACAGATTGCAATGTGCAACCAGATTTTGAACTAACGAGACAAACACAAATTCAATCATGAAACGAGGAAGAAACGATGTTACCAATAACTAGCTCTGATGCCAGCTGATATGAATCTCGTTGGTGAGGAGATTCGTGACCCAAGACCGGTTGTTGGACTTGTGGTTAATGACCAAGGAAGGTAGCAGCGGAAACCCTATGACCCCTCTAATCCCTGTGACTACGAACTTGTTGATATTATCTCAACCAGTAATCAAACGAATTAGCAAACATCAAGCAAGTGTAGAAGGCGCCACAACTCAAGTGTGATTCTTGAATTGATAAGCCAACAAGAGCACTAGAGTATAACTCTAAGTTGTTCAAGGGATGCTCGAAAGCTATAGAGAAAATTATCTCACTAGTTTTTATGATAAAATGTCTACCTCCTTTATTGATGTAATATGGCTCCTTATATAGGATACAAGCAAGACCTAATCTAATAAGGAAAGGAAAATGAACTAAAGGGCTGGTATGACCCTAACAAGTGAAGGAAACGGAAAAGAAAGCTACTTCCTCAATCCTCGACAGATCCGGTTTCATGCAGGCTTTCCTTCCTAGGAGCCGACCTTCACATATAATGACAAATAAAATGACAATCTTACCCTTGGCAATTCTATGTGCAACATGCACTTAGCCAATTATTCAATCTAATCAAACTAACACGTAAATAAAGGAAACTACTAAAATGGTAAGCTAGGGTTTGGCAAAACCCTAAATCTCGGGTGCCGCTTCAATGCGCAATATCGGACCTCGATTACCTTCACCAGAGTGTATGAATCCCTCAAAGGACTTGTGTAAGGCCTGCACAAGTACATTGAGTTGCTCACGAAGTCTCTTTGCGCATGCCCTAGTGATGGGTCCGTTTAGAGCTTGCATGCACCCCTCAACCCCTCGACCACTCGTGCCACCATTAGCGTGCCCACGTACCATGATGCTATCAGAAGTAGTCCGCTGCCTCGCCATAGACCTTATGTAGCTAATGATGATGTTCAGCAACAAAATTCAAGCGTAGGAGGACTCCCGATTATGAAACATATAATCAAGAAAATATATATCACTTTTTCGGACCTCCATATGACCCGTCTTTTTAGATATGACATTGTGTGCCATCATATAGATAATGAAACGATGGCGAAATTCGAAGACACTTGTCAACATTGTCTCCTTCCTTGAAGATATAAAAGGTTGGTACTCAAGACAAAACCTATTCATAGCGTGCGATGGTTTCCACCGCCTATTTGGTGCGACGAAATCCTTCTTCAAGTCGATCGCCTGACCTTAGTTGTTACAACCCAAAATGACGGCTAAACGCTCCCGCGATAAAATAATACGCCACCCATGCACCCATGACTTCGCCATCTCGCCACTGTGATGTGCTTTGTTATCAATGTTGACGTAGAACTCGCGCACCAAGTCAGGGTAGTAGTGAGTCGGCAAAGTGAGAATCGGCGCCCAACCAAGTTGATTAAACACCTCCGAGATACGATAAACCACTTCAATTTCCGAACTCGCATGCATCTCAAAGAGAAACTCCAAATTAGCGTGCACCTCGTGTCACTCTTAATTCCTAAGACTAGTGAACTTCCACTATCAAAGACGGCAGTTTCGGCACTACGAGAAGTGCCCTCCCCTTGTCGTCTTCTCATCGATTGAGGTGAAGGTGACCTCTTTTCTTCACTTTCTTTGATATCCTCGCTCACCTCCATTTTGTCACTACTAGAAGATGAATAGACAACTTGCTTTCCTCTTGCTATAGTACCTAAAAAAAATTCAATTATCCACATGTACTAATACATATTTCATAACCTTGGCACTAACGAATCCCAATTGACGCAAATAACCACAAAGACATATCTCCATATCATAAGAAATCAAATAAGCATACTTAAACGACCACTATTATGACATATGAGAAATGACATATTAAAAATGTCAAAAATTGTCAAAATCACCAATTTATCAAAATAGGCAACAAATATATCCCAATTAGTGAAATTAGCACTTATCATGATTATAGCAATCGTTAATTAGCAACAACAATGCACATTTAGTTATAAACATGGTTAAGCAAAAATTATCCTAATAACTCATAAAATTCATCAAATCACTCTCTATTCCCAATGCACATGCTAAAACATCATCAACTAACCATTCTTAATCATAATCATCTATCACAAATGACTCAACAACATTCCAAACTAATTTTTTAATTTTAACCAAATATAGCAAATTAAAAATTTAAAGAACTAATAATCCATCAACTTGCTACATTTGAACGTGTAAACATGTTTAAACAACCTAAATAATCATAATGGAGGCTAAAAATTTTAATAAACATCATCAAAAATTTGAAATTAGAAGATATCAGAAAACTCAGGAAATTGAAAAATATCAATTTCTAAAATACCAAGATTTGATGAAAAAACTTACCTCAATTGCAAAGAGTGATGTTTGGAGATGATGATTATGCAAAAAGCCCTATGAAAATTACTCCAATTTATCTCCAATTGATGAATTTAAGAACTACAAACCCTAGTCCCAAATTTCTTAAAACTCGATTTTAAC